CTGTAAACATAATAACATTAAGGACTGTTGTGGTGGCTGAGCTTAGCTGTCGACTCTACCTCCCCTGGAAAGAAGGAACATATGTTGAGGAATTGTCCCTGTTGGATTGGCCTGTGGGCATGTCTGTCAGTCATTTTCTTGATTGCTAATTGATGTAGGAGGGCCCAGCCCACTGTATGTAGTGAGTTATATAAGGAAGACAGTCAGGAAGCAACATTCCTCGATGGCCTCTGCTTCCAGATTCCTGCCTTGACTTCCCTTGATGATGGACTGTAACTTAGAAGCCGAAATAAACCCTTTCCTCCCCAAGTTATTTTGGTCATGGCGTTTATCACAGCAACAGAAAGCTAACTAGAACAAATATTACGGCTACGAGGGCCAGACAGGATTTTATCAGAAAGCCAAACATAAGGGAAGCTTAGAAAGGGAGGTGGTAGATGTTCAATTGATATCCTCCTGGGATGTGAATCATGAGTAGAAATAGACCAGAGCAACAAGTACACTGTCTGTAATGAGAAAACTATAAACCTTTAGACACTGCAAAACATCAATGGTGCCAGAATCCGATGAACCACAGGGCAGTGAAATGCATGGCCATCAGGGGCTAGATGTCTCAGAGACTGCACTAGTTATTTTGTTTGGTGCTGCTTAAAGCCCCCTTCCTACCACCTCAGATCTGCATAGTACACAATGGTAAGTATTTATTTATTGCTTTGCTGTTGTTGTTTTTGTTTCAAGACAGGGTTTCCCTGTGTAGCCCTGGCTGTCCCGGAGCTTGCTCTGTAGACCAGGCTGGCCTCGAACTCAGAGATCCAGCCTGCCTTCTGCCTCTCGAGAGTGCTTATCTAGCACTTTCAGGTCTTTCTATTGTCTGCAGCTGTAGCTGTAGAGGTCAAGACCTAGCTGTGGGTGGGGCCCAGAGCAGTGCCGTGTTTCCTTCATTGGGACAGAAGGAAATGAAGGAAACACAGCCGCCTCGAACAGGCTCTTCTTGTGATTCATGATCAAGTCCAAAAAAAGGAGAAGGCTTGGAACCATTACACCGTTGCTATTGCCCAGTGGTCAAAGGGGGTCATAATGCCAAGTCCTAAGTCAGTGGGTCAGGATGAGTCCTCTAGAAGATGTGCAGTTGGATGGCAAGGGGTGTGAGGGTGTGATGCTGCTGCAGGGAGAGACAAAAGTGGGTCAAAAGCCATTTTAACACATGGTCTGCGGAAGACTTTGTTTTTTTCATTCTCATACCAGCTGGAAACTGTTGTGTCATTTCGATCCCTTCCCCCTTGCACTTATTTTTGTCTTCTATTGGATTACCCAACCAGCACAATTATCCACTATAAATTCTTCTAAGGATGTGAATGAGTCTCTCTGTTTAGTCCCTTTGGCACTCAATACAAACCCCCCACCCCACCCCTCCGAAACAATCACTATTGGTTTCTTGCATTCTTCTTCTTTAAGATCAAAACAATACACCTCAATGCTCTCTCATGGGATTTTTGAATGTTTTAATATAATGTAGATTGTATTGTTTCATAGCTGAGTGGATTTTATTTTCTTTCTTTGCTTTCTCCCTCACTCCTTCTCTTCTTTCCCTCCTTCTGTTCCCCCTCGGCCCCTTTCTCCCTTCCTTCTTTATTTTTATTGCTTTTTCAGAGAATTTTATTCTTTATTTTTAAACGTAGGATCTCATTATCTAGTCCAGACTGCTCCAGAGCCTGCTATGTAGCCCAGGTTATCCTCTAACTTGAGATTCTCTTGCTTAGCCTCTTGGGTGATAGGAATACATACATGAGCCGCCATGTCCAGCAATGGATTTGATTCCTAAGCAAATACCTTCTTTAAGTTGTTATTATTGCATTTTAACTTACTTCGGTGTGTACATGTAGATTTAAGGGCGTGTATGTGTCGTGACATTCATTCAGAGGTTAGAGGAAAACTTGGAAGTTGGATCTCTCCTTTCACTACTCATGTGAGTCCACTGGAATTGAAGTCGGTTGTTAAGCTTAGCCACGGACGCCTTTACCTACTAAGCCATCTTGTATGCCCACAAAGAACTTCTGAAGCTCCGAGTCAATACCTGAAAGCTGTGTTATAATATTTTCAAAGCTCAGGTTTCCAAAGCTCCTATGGTGGCCTGGGTATAATGTGTAAGTGTGGTTCACAAAATAAGCTATGTGACTGCAGTCATAATTACAATCCTGCACGCTCTTACAGAACTTTGAGACTCCTCTATGGGCAGAAAACTATGTTATGTCTCTTCCATTGGAAATAGAGTGGCAAAGGGACACTATGTGACTCCTAAGGCTGGACCCTAAAAGGCAAATTAGCCTGTCCAAAGCTCACACCTGGAATGTCTTGCTGCCATGATGTATGGCAGTATAGGTTTCATGAAGAGGTCCACAGGCCAAGGAACCTCAGAATTGGCTGAGCTGCCAGCTGCTTGTCAGTTGTGTGACCCCTGAAGGTGGCTCTTCAGTCCCCTGTTGTACCTCTGTAGATGACTCCATGCGAGACAGAGGTAGATGCCTCCTGCCTACACTACCCTGACTGTAGATTACTGGGCAAAATATAGGACAATCGGTAGTAAGAAGTCTCTGGTCTGGGCGTGGTGTGTGACACAAGAGATGTCTGGCCCACTTGTCCTGAAGGACCATAGTTCCTGGTGGAAGAGAAAGCTCTGGCAAGGCTGGGCAGTGGTGCTGTGGCTCCAGTACCTCCTGGGCTTTGCCTAGGAAGAGCAAACATCCCCACCCCCACCCCCAACGGCCACAGTCTGGACTGAGCCACTGAATGCCGGGGATGGGGGTCAGCATAAGAAGCCCTGCTTTCTGAACTCTCTGACATGAAGGAAGCTGTGGTCTTGTGGAGGCAGTAAGACTTCCCAATTGTTCAAGCAGTGCTGTTGGGCACCATGTATCCTAGGTCAGATACCTGTCTACATAAAGAGCCAGATGACTTCACCGAGGGGAACAATTCCACTAAAATCACTAAAAGTTGGGGGAGCATGCTTGTTTGGGGGAAGTGATAGCTTTGTCTGGAAATATGTAGTGTGTGGAGTCTTGGAGTTGGGGGGGGGGTCCCCGGGCATAGATCTTGACTCTGACAAACTATCAGCATCACTACTCACATCATAGCTGTCTCTTGGGAGGTATAGAGGATTGGATTAAGGATCTATGTGAATGCCAACCTCCCTGGTTGGGCATGTTCTTTATATAAAACGGCCTATAACCTAAATATCTCTCCCCATATTCTTTAAATCATTTCTGATTATGTTTAATACCTCACACAATGTCCATTTTAAGTAGGATGTACTGTTTGGGGAATGACAATAAGAAAAGAGCTTTGTAACTATTCCATATAGATGCAGATTATTTTTAGAATAGCTTTGTTTTTGTGATTTGTTTTAATTTGAGAGAGAGAGCTTTACTTGGTAAACTGGGGGTTGACTTTGAACTTGGGGTCCTCCTACCTCAGCTTTTTAAGTGTTAGGATTGCAAACATGAGCCACCATGCCCAGCTTTTCGAGTCTGTTCAACCTATGGTTGGTTGAAGGAGCCCCTGTGGAAAGAAATGGTCAGGGACTTTGACCTTTGTAGTCCCTAGCGGCAGAAGATAGGGAAAAGGTCTTGGTGCAAACCTAGATGTCTCAGTTAAACATGGCCACATAACCAAATGAAGGATTTTTAATGTGGGTCCCACCTAGTGCATGAATGGGGCTTTGATGACTCTAAGCTTCTGGGCAGTGCAGACTGAGGTGTGGAGGTGATCAGGTCATATATATATATATAGATAAAGTGCTTCATAAGGCTGGGTGTGCAGTGCATGCAAAGTTAAAAATGAGATATTATTTCTTTTTCCTGTGCCAGGGTGCCACAGCCCATAGGAAACTGTTTATTAAGCAACAACATCTTTATGCCTTTGTGGGTAAGGCTGGCGGGGAGGGGTATGTAAAGATAAAGAAGCCGCTGGCCCTGCTCCCCAGGCATGGGAGCTAGCGGTTCCCACTACCCACTGCGTTCAACTCCCACAGTTAATAACATTGCAAAATGAGGGCCAGGCGGGTTCTTCCTTCCTCGGCATCTTTACAGGCAGGTTTTTAATTTTAAGCAGGAGAAAAGCCATCAGGTATTTGAGGCTCCTGGGGGGCAGCTAATGCTTCCTGTCAAATGCTCACCCTGGGGTGCTTTGTTACCCTGACACCTCCCCAACCTAGAGTCAGCAGGCAAATTGCAGGACAAAATTCTTAGGCTGCAAGTTTATTTGCATATTCATAGAATTTAGGCCATTAGGCAACATTAGCTGTTTTTTTTTTCTTCCTTCTACTTTTTATTGAAGTCTAACCTACATTCAAAGAGGAACACAGATTCTTGGGTATACAACTTGGTACCCAAGCCCTTGTTTATGACAGCACTCAAGGGTAGGGTCTCAGATTATCAGCAGTCTGCAAGGAAAATTTCCTCATGCTCTCTCCCTATCACTGCTTCCTGTAACGCTAGTGTGTCCCCATTTTACATACAGAAAGGACTTTCAACCTGACCTGAATGAATACTATACTCTACCTTCTGGAGTCTGTCTTCTTTTTTGTTGTTCCTGTTGTTTTTTTTTTTTAACTTCCTCCCTTTCTCTCTCCCTCCCCCTGTCTTCCTGTCTCACTGCCTTTATTTTGACAAGTAGCCCAGGTTGGACTTGACTATTCACCACATAGTTGAGGGTGACCTTGAACTTTGTATCTTCCTGCCTCCTCTCAAGTTATAAGTATATATCACCATGCTGAGGTGTTATGAATCAAATCCAGGTCCTTGTGGATGCTAGGCAAGTAATCTAGCAACTGAGTTCTATCTTTAGCCTTTTTGCTATCTTGCTCTCTCTCTCTCTCTCTCTCTTTTAAATGATGGTGAAATGTATCCACTGTGTTGCATATAGATGTGGTTTGTTCATTCTTACTGTTGTGTAGTATTCCACATATCTCCATTTTACCATTTAATGCATCTATCTGTTGATAATCCATGGGTTTGTGGCCAGATGAGCTTTGCTCTGGACATTCCACTCTTTTCTGTGGGTGTGTATGGAAGAGCCAAGCTAATTGGCAGTTGGGCAGTTGACTTTGTTTGAGATGGCTGAGCACTTTTCTATTACATCAGCTTCTAATGCCTAAGCCTCAATATCAGTGGAAGGGAAAAGCCAAATAAAAAGAACCCACCTAAACATCTATAATACTTTTTGCAGTCTAAGAAAATAGTGTAGTAAAAGTACATGGAGAAAAGCAATTTAAACTTTAAGCTGTGCATTGAAAAGGCTTGTAAGTATTCTTCTCTTGTCGTTCTTTCTTTTCATTATTTATTTGTTTGTTTGTTTGTTTATTTAGAGACAGTGTGTTGCTTGTAGCCTAAGATGGAATTGAACTTTCAGAGCTCCTCCTGGTTCAGCTTCCTGGTTGCTGGGATTACAGATGTGCACCACCATGCTTGGTTCTGAGTGCTTTTTGTTAAAGTGGTTTGCTCTGTCTGCTTTGTAAGCTTCTTCCATCAGAAACTTCTGGTTGATCCCAGAATAGGTGCCTAAAATACATATGTACCATTGTCTTACTCCATTTTCCATTGCTAGAATAGAAGACCTAGAAATGAGTGATTTACGAAAAGGAGAAAGTTCTTTGGGCTCCCAGTTCTGGAAGTGCAAGCATATGGCACTGTGCCTGTCAGCTCTGCTGCTGGCAAGGGTATACTCCATGTTCATGGCACAAAGTGGGAAGACAAGTAGATTAGTGAGCATGAAAAAGCAATCGGTCAAGCCTCAATGCTAGCTAACCTAGTAGGACAGAAGAAGGCTTCAATCAGTTTCTGAGGACTCTATTCCTATGACGTAAACACCTTCTAGCAGGCACCATTTCCCAACCTCGCAGCATCCAGGACTGAGCCTTAGTAACATTTTAGTAGGGATAAAAAAATCATAGTGAAATCAAGCATAAAACACTAACAAGACTGTCAAATAGGTTGTGGGCCTATGGCCATTATTTCTGGGCCTTTCTGTCTTTCAAGGACCCCCCCCCCATGCCTAACTTGAACTTTGTCTAGTCTACTGGTGCTCTTCATCACCGTTGATGGAGTGTGCCATTAGGTACTTGACATATCCTTGCTTCTGCTTGGGGACCAAAAGGTTGAATTTGAATTTGGACCTTCAGAGTGAGTGGTGCATGTGGACATTCACTCTACTTCCTGAAGGTCAAGGGCCTACCCCACCCTACCTTTATCTCCCACTCTCTTGAGAAAGAAGACATGGTCACATTATGACTCCGGCCTCCAGTTCTGAGCCTTAAAATGTGACTTCCTTGAAGACTGGCAAGGCATCATTTTGGGGTGCCCCAGCCTAGGCAGAACAGCATGCCTTTTGCCTACTGGTCACTTCTTCTGCCATGGAGTGTGTTGGCATTTGGCAGGAAGCCCAACAGACTGTTCGGTTTGGCTCCTGAAGGTGGCCTGAGGCCAAGGCATTGTGTCTAGCCAGCCCTCACTGGAAAAGCCACTTGCGAAGAACTGGGGAATTGGAGAGACCTCTGGACCCAGGCCAATTCCTCTGTCACCCCTAAGATAGGTGACATTTGGTGGGTGAGGAACAGTGAGAGACCTCAGTGCAGGGCCTCGAAACCTTCTAGAGTTTGAAATGGGGAGGCGTGTTTTTCTGAACAAAGTCATATGTGTCTATGGAACCCTAGTCCTCAAGTAAGCTAAGGGTGGGTGGGTGGGCAGACTATGGGAGAGTCTGGCCCAGACACATACTCATCCCTCTTTGTCACCATCGCTGTAATATTTCTACTGCCAGGACAAATCTTTGGAGGGGGAGCAAACCTGACAGTGATGCAGTGATGACAGGCCTGCTGGACACAGAGATCCCCTCACTTTTGGAGGATCTGACGAAAAGCAGGGTTCTCCCTGCTTACCCTTGGGTTCTCCAGCACAGCTTTGAAAACCTTGGCTTAAGCTAGACTCTTCTTCTTTAGATGAAGAGGTGGATTCCCAGAGGGATGTTGGGGGAGGAGGGGCTGTGAACAGCAAAGCTCCTCAGGCTGTGCTCTGAGGAAAAGAGAAGTAAGGTTTGAGAAGGCCCTACTCCCCAAAGGAAGAAGCATCCAAGCCAGAGACAGGCAAGACACTGCCCAAAAGGAAGGACCTAGCTGGGAGGGTGTCTGGGTCTCGATCCTTCTGGAAGATGCCCCTCCTCTCTCCCAGCTTCTCTCTGTTGGACACAGAGATTTCCTCAACTTTGGAGGGTCTGACTGAGAGCTCCTTTCTCCTTCCTCTAGTAATGCCAGTGTGGCCTGCTTTTGGCAGCCATCCCCTCCCCCTCCATTTTTCCCAGCCATTAGAAATGTAGCAACTATATTAATGTCCCTTCTTCACTCTGAGCAGGCCAGTGGCATTGCTGCCAGGTTGGCTCCCTCGCTAATGATTTGTCCTGGCAGTAGAAATATTACAGTGATGATTTCATGTAGAATTTCATTTGCTGTATTAAAAAAAAAAAAAAAAACAAACCCTTGAAGAAGCTGCTGAGCCATTAACGGGTCTCTGAGAGATCAAAGCAGTATGTGGCACAGAGCGAATAATAATCGTAGCCAACATTGATTGGGGGCTCTGTATGTGTCAGGCACTGTTTCCCCACCATGACAACCCTTTGAGGTAGGCACAATGTTTGTCACTTGCATGATGACATACATGGCCCAAGCCACCAAAGTGCTTGGAAGCCATGGTAGCATGGCTTTGGTGCTCTCCAACAGGTCCCAGATCTACCCTGTGATGGCAGGAAGAGCACTGGCTCAGGAACTCAGGTCCCTGTCTACTCTGTGCTCCCTGAGCTGTAGGCAGTCAGAAGTCAGGCTAAATGTTGATTTTCTGGGAACCTGGGTCTGGAGCTTCCTCAGGGATACTGTGTGGGACCTAGGTCTAGGTACTAGGTCATGGATCACACTTAGACCCCCACCACTCCTTTTCTAACTGAGCAGGGCATTTTTTGCCTCAGTTTCCCCATCTCCTTTCATGAAATAATAATGGAGTGATACTATATGTTGAATACCTACATATTCAACTGTGTGCTAGGAGCTCTTCACAGAGTGTGTCTGCTGCTCATGACAATGTGGAAAGGTATCATGACCTGTCCCTTTGATTGGTCAGGTGACTGGAGGTTGGAACTCCTTGCTTTTGCACAAGGCCATGCTTAATGATTAAGCAGCTTCTGATCCAGACACACCCACGTGCCAAAACCTGGACTGCTTTCAACCTGAGCTGCTTTCAACCTTCTTTGGAAGGAGGCTAGTTATTGGGGCTGAATAGATGGCTCAGCCAGTAAGAGAGTACACTGCTCTTGCAGAAGCCCTGAGCTTGATTCCCAGGAACTGTGTCTGGTGGCTCTCAACTGCCTTAAACTCTCATTCAAAGGGATCCAGGACCTTTTTTTTTTTTTTTTTTTTTTGGCCTCCAAGGCCACCTGCATTGCATCCATAGACCCACAATTAAAAATAATTTAAAAATTAATTAAAAAAGAGACAGAGTAGTTACCATGTCAGGCACTTAGATGGAAGGTTCTTCCTTCCTCAAAATACCCACTCTCTCTGGGAGATAATGATTAGCACCCTGCCATGACAGGTGATGAGCCAGGTGCAGAGATGTTTTGCCAGTTGTCCAGGGTCACACAACTCAGTGATGTTAACTCTGGCTCTTGAATCTGGGTTGGTCCATCTCTAAGGTCTTCCTTTTTCCATAATATCCCATGTGTGGAATGGTAGTTAACTAAAATGACAACTTCCTAGAGGAAATTTGTTGTTTGGATATTTATTGTAACTCAAGGAGTTGAAAAAAAAAAGGAAATACTTTTAAGGTCTCAGTTGAGGAAAAAGTAGACAGGAAACCCTCTTGATATAGGAATTGTTAGGCCTCCAGAGTGAGAAGCCAAAAGAGGGCAGGGACTCAGTCCATTTGTCCATCCATCCATTCACTCATCTACTTCATCCATTCTTATTTTTCATCCATCATTAATTCCCATACCCATTCACTTGTTTGCCTTCCCATCCACCATCTATCTATCTATCTATCTATCTATCTATCTATCTATCTATCTATCTACAATCATGCATATATTTCTTTATTCATTCATGCACCTAGTCAATCCATTCATATACTTTGAGGAGAGACCAAGAAGCCTGTGATATTCTGCTGTTCTATCTGCTTGGTAAGTCTGTGTCCCCTGTCCTAGATGTGATGCAAGAAGGGAAATGCTTCCAACTACAAAAGTTAGATGTTGGGGGTAGGGGTCAGGCCCCTTTCTGAAGAAGGTTGTCTTGCCTACAGACAGAGGCAGATATGAGCATTCTGAGGTGGGATTGCATGATCTCCTGTAACTTAGATGCTTGCTATGGCTGAAGACCCTGGAGTAGGGAGAAGGCTTCGTCATTTGCTTGGTGACCCTGAGATTCTCCAAACTTCTGAACCCAGGATTGATATGGGAGGGAGTCCTGCCACTTCCTTCTCCCACACCCACATCTCTATAACATGTGGGGAGTTTGGGAGGGGCAGACGAAGACAGTTGGCTCAGAAATCTCATGTGGCAAAGAGTGGCTGCTTACTCTGATTTATGGACCAGATTTTTCCCAGGCCTGGAAAAGCCACGGGAAAAGATGGCTATGGGCATTTTAGAAATATCTCCTTCGGAATCTGCTTCAGCACCTCTATTCCCTTCTGAGAGGTGCCCCCAACCTCCTCAGCACTCTAGGCCCTCCACATGAGCTTTTCCAGATAGCTTCTTTCCCCCAGTTTAACCTCTTTGTATCTTACTGGCCCCTCATTCCCTGTGGGGAGCCTTCCTTTGCCCTTCCAGCTTTATCTGTTTATCAGTTGGGGCCCCTGTGGTAGTGCCACTGTAATCCAGTTCAAGAAATATTTACAGGGCCTAACCTGTGCTGGCCACTGCACAAGGCTTGGGAGGCAAAGGCAGCTTCAGGCTATTGACTTGGAGCTGAAACCGAGCAGTACTGTGCCTGCCAAGCCTGCCTGCCTTCGGGAACTTCTCATTTCCCCTACCTGTGAGGGGGTTGTCCTACCTGGCTCAGCCCTCACAAGACTTCAATTAGGTCCTAGTGCCCACTTTTTAGGTGAGTACACCAAGGCTTTGAGAAGTTCTCAATGAGCCAGTTTCATCCAGCTATCATAGCAGGGTTGGGGTTTGCATAACCATGTGTTTGATTCTATAGACTATAGTTTATATTTTTTATTCCTCCTTGTCCTCCTTTTGTTTTGTGGCACTGGGATTGAGGCCAGAGTTTCATGCATGCCAACCAACCACTCTACCACTGAGCTACATTCCTAGCCATATTTTTTTTTCTTTTGTTGAAGGAGGGTGTCTCACTAAGTTTCGCACTCTGATCTTGAACACCTTCTGTAACCTAGGTTAACCTTCAACTTGTTTTCTTTCATAATGTAGGAAACCTCATGCTGTGGGGTCTGGTGTCCTGGAGAGGCTGAGTCCAGGCTCAGAACAGGATGAAGGTGCTGGGCAGTTTCCTAAGGATGACTTTCCAGATGGATGTCTGTAGCCTTCTTTCCTAAGGCTTGCCTAGGCCTTAGGAAAATCTGGGAAAATCTGGTCCATGAAGCCATGGGTGCCAAATGAGCTCGGGTCCTTCCGGGCCCTGGTGCCATTCCTTTGATTCATGCCAGAGCCTCAGTTTCCTTACATGTTGAAATGGGGAAAGCTTTATTAGCAACCTTTTTTTTTTTTTTTTTTTTTTTTTTGTATCTCATGGAAGCTTTTGACAACAGTGTCTGAGTGTGGCTCTCTAGTAGTTACAAAGTGGGGTCTGGAAAAAAATGCTGTATTTTGTGGAAAGCCGACAAATCACCTGCCTCCCTTGCAACCTCAGAAAAGCCCTTGCTAAGGAGGCACCCCCATCTGCTCGCAGCCTTTGCTACCCCATAATGAAACACTACTTCTGCACTTTGACACCTTACTGTTCCACAGGGACATCGCTGGCTGGAGGTGGGGTGTGGCAAGTCAGTTACATCAGAGAACTTTGCATAGCCCCTTCAAAGTGACTTTGTTCAAACCCCGCCCTCCCCCACACAAGCAGAAACCAAGGCCCAGAGGGGGCCGGTAATTTACCTGAGGTCAAACAGCTGTGTTAGCATCGAGGATGGGGTCATTGCAGCTGTGGGGATCCCTCTCATGAGGCTTTTGGGATGTGTGGATCCATTTGCTTCTCTGTCTTTCTAGCATGAAAAAACAAAAACAAAAACAAAAACAAAAACAAAAACAAAAACAAAACAAAACAAAAAAACCAAAAAACAAACACGACAACAAAACCCAGGGAGAGGCACAGAGGCTACCTGCGGGACAGAGATAGGAAGGAAAATCCATGAAGGTCTGGGAGGCCCAGGCACTGTCTTCTTTCTGATATAGAACTGATATAATGGGGTCAATGAATGCCCCCAAACTGGCCAGGCACTCCAAGATACCTATCTCTGGTACACGCGGGATTTATTTTGTACCTGAGTTTCCTGGATTCCTTCATGACTGCGGGTAGTATCCAGCCTCTCTGTGTAACAAGGGCTGCATGGGTTTGTTCCCTCACTCCAAGAGACGAAGGTTCCACCTTCCCCTGCAATGAGTTCAGTGCCAGTCCTACCCCTGGCCCTTGCATCCTTTTTTCCACTTGACCAAGGTCCATTTTCCCCACAGCTACCGCGGACCACATGACAAACACACAGGACTTAGGCCTGGAAGATCTATTAGAGCCACCCCTGTCACCGCCTGCAGAGCCAGAGGAGAGGCAGCCAAATGCTGTGCTAATTATTCTAGCTTCCAGCAGGGTCTCAGAGGTCCCAGCCATGGTTAAGTCTTAACTTTCATGCTATGGTGCACCGGCATGCAATTTACTTCAAAGAGAGCATCAATCCCCACCGTGGCGTGTATCAGAGGAGTGGTACATAAAAGTGGCCCGTGTGCTCTCCCACCCCTCCCTCCCCAACTCTTTCTCCCTCCTTCTCTCCTTGTAAGTTTGAAGAAGCCAGCCTGCGGTTGGCTACACATTTCACACAAGAAAACATTTACACACACGTCTGCCCCTAGCCTTTTAAATCAAGGCTTGGCGACTTGGCAGTGGGAATGCAGGCAAGCTCTGCTTTTTACCAGTTCAGTCCAGCCCCCAGAGCCCCTCCTTTGCTACAGTGACAGCTACTGGTGCCAGTCTTGGCCAAAGGCAGCCTGGCAAATTCAGACCCATTTCTCAGACTTGGGAAGATGGAGCCTGACCATCATAAGGAAGTCATTGTAAGCAAGGCCAGTGCTGTTCCTTACTCTGCTGAATGACCATGGGGATTGAGGAGGTTATTTTCATCTCCCAAAGCAAGGCTTTTTCTTCTTCTTGAATGCACCCCCTGGGGGTTATCTGAAGAAGTGTTTTCAGCAATTACTTGACCTTGAAAGACATCTGCTATCTTTGCTGGCACACATGGGACTGGTGGCCCGAGAGGGCCTTGTGAATCCTGGCATTGTCATTCCATCCTGGGAAGTGAAGGAAGGGGATGGAATGAGACAGAGGCACATCTGTCTCCTTCCCCAAGCCCTGGCTCTAGCCTCTGCCTCCTCCCCACCCCCTCTCCGGAGGCGGCTGTGCCAGGTCTAATGCTCCTAATGTCATCTTTGCAGAGCCATTTGTGATTCCTTGATGCTGTAATTACTGTGGCTCTGTTCCTCTTGCAGCCACTGTCATTAGCTGGGCAGACCACCGGCTGCACTGGCAGCTTGGGGGGCCTCTGTTGGTTACTGGGAGTGGGCAGGACCCTCCTGGAAGGTTGAGAGCTGCCCAGAGACCTGGACCGCTGACTGAACTGGCCAAATGCTGGTGATTAGTGGCTTTCCCCTGAGTGTAACCCCTGGCTGTCAGCCAGCTATGGAAAATACCCTAGGGCTGATGGCAGGGTGATGTATAGCTTAGACTCCACCCCTGACACTTTGGTGACCCTGGACAAGTCACAGCCCCTCTGATATTTGGTCCTCTCAGCTATAAAAAGGACTCTAAAGGGAGGGAGGTGGAGTGCCAGGAAGTGAATCCCCTATGTGAGAAGTGTCTCTCCATCCCTCATGGGGAAATATGTCCTCCCTTCACCATCTCAGCACGGCTTAAGCAAAGGCTAGGCGCTTTTTTTGGTCTCAATTTCTGAGAGGCTCAGGCTCTGCCCTTCCAAGTAACCCTTCTCTAGGCCAGTCTAACATCCCCTTTTAAGGATAAGTCACCCAAGAAAGAGTCAAAGGCTCCTGGTAGCCTGCACTCCACCTTTGGGGGAAGTAAAAGAAGGGCTGTAGACTACAGGCCCTCAGAAACGACAGTTGGACACCTACAACTGTCCAAGTTGTAGGGTGGAATGTTTTTCCCAGCCCTTCAAACTCTCATTCTCATTCGCATCCTTAGCTTTGATGGCATTGTGACTGACAAAAATATTACACCTCAGTGCTCAAGGCTGGCTGACAGCAAAAGTCGATCGGGGTATTGCACACAGCAGCTCCAGGTGGCATTGAACCACTCCCACAAGTTCCCATGACTCTTTCCATCACAAGCTGCTTCTGTGGACCCCATCCCATGAACCTGGGTGGGCTTGTGACTCCTACAGCCAAAGTATACTTGTAGGATATGTGCTCTGTGATTTTCAAGATGAGGTCACTGAGGGCCAAGTTACTTTTGCCAACTTCACGGGAATACTTGCAATTGGGTGCCAAGCTACTGTGGAAGGTATCTGACTTGAGGTTACCATGCTGTGAGGAAGCTCAGTGTACTCCATGAGGTTGGCTGCAGTGCCCTTGTCAACAGTTTCGGCTCAGCACAACCTCTGAGTCACTGTGTCTCATGTATTAGGCATGTGAGCCAAAGAACTTCCAGATGGTCCCAGCCGCCCGCCATCAGCCATCGAGTCACTTCCCAGACATCGAGGAGCAGAGATAAGCCATCCCTGTGGGACTCTGTTTGAAATCCTGACCCACTGATTGGGGTGCTCTTGTAAGCAGCAATAGATAACAAGAGCAGCCCCTTAGCTCAGGTCCTGTCTAGTATTTGGCCTAATGCATGAAGACATGGACACCTGTTTTCCATAAAGGAAGCAGGAAGTATTTTAGAAGGCTAAAGATGGCGATGGGCCAAGGGATCTGTGGTGTGAGGCTATATGTGGATCCTTGGCTGCAGAAGTCAGCAGGCTCCCAGAGGAAGGTGGAACTCTGGCCAGGCCACTCCTTCGTACCTCTGGTGTTGGTCTTAGTGTCTGTGTGAGTCCTGGGAACTGGAGGTTTTCTCAGAGCTATTCAAGTTTCATTGTGTTTTCACCTTTTTATTCTCTCCTAATCTGTTACTTAGGCCAGAGTGGTTAAAGATGGAAGAGAAAGGAGAGGCAGACACATGCTCATGGGTAAGGCCATCTTTTTGTGGTTTATATGTCAAAGGACAGAGGACAGATTCCCACTGAGCCCTGGCAATGTGACCTATGAAGGCTTTGGCCATGGCTTTACAGTTATATGAAGGAGTATGGGTAGGGAGCACACTTGATTGCCTGTGACCAGAATCATTTTGCCATGTTGTGACTGCTATAATTTATAAGTAGTCAGGTTGCTTTTCTCTTTTTGTTTTTGTTATTTGTGTATGTGGGGGTACACACACATGCGCTTGTGTATAAAAACACATGAGTTCCTGTGAGCCCACATGTGTGTAGACCAGGGACAACCTTAGGTGTCATATTTGAGGTGTTCTATACCTTGTCTTTTGAGACAGGGTCTCTCACTGGCCTGTAATTCACTATGTAGACTAGGTTGTCTGACCACTCAGCCTCCAGGCATCTGTCTGCATCCACTTTCCCCCAACCCCAGGCTGGGATTACAGGCCTGTGCTGCCTTGTTCACCTTTAAACTATGTGGGTTCTGGGGATCAAACACAGGTCCTTGTGCTTGCAAAGCTAGCACTTTACTTACCAGGGTTTTTTCAGCCCAAACCCCGTCCGTTTTGAACTGTCAAAAGATAGATCCGTTCATTCAATTGTGGGCTATCTCAAAATGCTCTTAAACATTTGCTGGCATTTATGTGCCTGGCTCAATTTTCCACAGAAAGTCCAATAAATGACTCTAGTTTGCTATCTAGAATTTGACAAATTGATGTTAGGCTTCTCGGGTTTGGTTAAAAAAAGAAAAAGAAAAAGGAAAAACAAAACAAAACAAAACACTCAGCAGCCTTGACTGAAAAATTGTTAGCCACAAGTGTGAAAACAGGGAACCCTGGGGTAAAACCGCAAATCTGTTCTTCAACCTGCTTAGACTGCTACCCAGGGTAAGTCCTCACTTTTAAGGAGACATGTTTTGCTTAAGTGGTAAACTCGACCACAAATTAAATCTAATAATCCCCTAATATTTGACATTTATATATGAGGCTACTGGGAGGAGGTGCTTCAGTATACGGCTGTGCTACTGGCAGGACTGAGGATACCGTGTTGAGAGTAAGGTGGAATCTGAGGATACAAATTTCATCGTGGTGGTCCTCTGGGAGCAGCCTGAGGTTATAGGGTTGAGCCTGCAGTGTCCTGACCTCCTTTGTTAGTTCTCATTCCCATCCCAGGAAGCAGTCACCTGACTCCTACTTGTCTAGAATTGTCTACTAGAGCAAGTGACATCACAGTGACCAGAAACCACCACCCCTTTGTCTGGAGGAGTTATGATGTCATTCCCTCTGGCAGCGATGCAAGATGTTGGCAGCTGGGATTCCTCAGGGTCCTCCTGAAGTGATAATTGCCTTAGATTTTGTTATAATTATCTTGTTAAATCGCAGCCACATAACTTTTTTTTTCTTTTGAATTTTTTTTCCCTTTGCAATCCATTTAAACAGTCTGGAAGATTAAATAAAACCACATACCCTAAACAAAAACAAGATTGCAACACACACACACACACACACACACACACACACACACACACACACACAC